GCAACTATGACAAGCACACTCGTGTAGGTGACACCCGCACGATGCAATAGCTTCGTCATACTTCTCCCCATTGTGAGAATATGTAGTTTAGGGTACCAGTTAAATTCCCGACAACCGATAAGTTACGTGGTAGTGTGCATTTGCGATCGTATAACAGCCTTTGCACACGCACGTAGGCGTACAAGCATGGGTCTTTAATCTACATATATATAGATAGCTTGCTGCTATTATCTATTATCTATTTCCGATCAGTTCAGTATGTATTTCCGTATTTAGAATGTATCAGTAAATACATAGTAGTAGCAGTAAATAGTAGTATACAAGAAAATATTTTGAAAAAAAAGAAACCCTCAATCTCAACTTTTGAGTGTCAGTGTCAAACTGTCAAACTACGCTTGACATCTAACCTCAATCCGTTGCGGTTGCAGGGGTCCAACTAGAAGGTTTAACGTAAACGCTTATTTTTTAAACCAAACGTGTCAAAATTCGACCTAATTAATTGGCCATCCCATAGGGAAAGATTGGAACCGGGGCACTCTGAGTATGCACCGAAAATGACAAATTTAGGGCTACCATTTGTATCAACGGATAACGTAAACGCATCTGTATTTCAAACTCATCCGTTTCACCGTATAACGTATTGAGGCTAGGTTGACACATCATCAGTATTACACACATCGCGAGCCATCGGATTTATATAAAATATGTGTGATGTATCAGTCTTCTCTACTACAAGATATGTAGAACAAATGTATCCGGCCATATATCTATATGCTTGAATGTAGGCTCCACCGACTTCCTGAGCGCTAGTATCTTCACCAAAGACGACTATAGTACGGCTAAAAGAATGAATTACTAAGTGTATACTGTCTACGCACCTTTGTAATGTACTATCACCTCGCAATCAGGAAATATGCCCTTTTACGGTTAATATATATATATATATATATAGATATATATAGATATATATAAATGAGATACGTGGCTTAAAACGTTATCCAACAGTAGACGGACACCCTTATGATAACACATAATATAGCCACCTCTCACAACTGTGACGGTAACACATATATCACTATGCAGCTTCGTACGCTGCGGCCGTGTTCCCCCCTACACCTGAAGCGTTGTACGCCATGTGTACACCCCACACGTGCGATTAACCATCTAGGTGTATATGCTGGACACACTATATCACAGAGGCAACGGGTCTGGCATAGTATAGGCAGTATCTTCACACCTATTTATAGTACGCAGTCTGTATGCAGACTATACTCGGTTGGTTCTGGGTTAAAATCGGCGAGGAGAGCACCCACCCCGAATCTGGTACACAGGCGGAGATGCTACTCGACGATAGATAAGGGTATGGGTTTTACCTGGGTGTGTGTGTGCATATGCATTCACTTGACCGAATACATGTGTGTGCATATGCATTCACTTGACCGAATACATGTGTGTGCATTTAAAGGGTATGGTGTTTGGCTGGTTGTATGCATATGTATCCAACTGTAGTCGAGTTGATTGGTAACAATACGAACATATCACTTGTGCTGGTGCTCATAGAATTGAATACTTTCAATTCCCTCTAATATGACGGATGTGGCTTGACACTTTGTCCCTTTAATGGTGAATCGACGCATTTTTGCTTACACTTGTTTTGACATATGCAAGCACGCACACCACATTGTCAACAAGTCATTGATAACTGTCGACAATGTATATGTGCATATATATATATATATATATATATATATATATATATATATATATATATATATATATATATATATATATATTAAT